AATAATAATAATAATAATAATTTAAAAATTGGACACTAGAGGGAACTGAAGATTACAAATAAAGGAGAAGAATACATAAACTTGATTTACAATTACAGAATGAAGCAAATTTTTCTAACATTGGACATATTAAAGGATATTTTTGAAACATCGAGTCAGAAATTAATATTAACAATGTCAACAGCAATATCTGCCTATATGGAGTGACTATGTCTAAAAGATGTTATGGAACAGGAACAAGATTTACCTGACAAGACAGAGATGAGTTGAAAGTAGGCTACAAGAATGACATGGAAAAAGATGTTACGCTAGACATACAAAAGAAACCAGATGATGTCTTATTAATTAAAAGTGATATACTACAATAAACCGAGAGAGTGGTCTGGATAATTTTCCTATATTGGATTTACAAAACAGTCTTGTTAAAGTTTTGAAGAATCTCATGAGAAGGGACAAAGAAAAAATGAAAAGAAGTCAAGTTCTGCGACATTATTTGAATGGACTAAAGATTAAGATTGTTAGAAGTAAAAGGAATATAAAGTTGGTTTATTTGATCAAGGTTGAAACAGTTACAGTATATTGTTATTTCTGGTAACCCTTAATGGATTTTTGCTTATACCAGGTCTGAAATGATTATGCTTTATGGATTTGTTTATGGATAAGAAATGGGATATGGGAAGAAGTGATCATTTGTTGTATTTTATGAGGAGGTGATAAGTTACTAAATTTGTTTACGCTTGTTTTGATGAAGGTGGGAAGTCACTTTATATATTTCTTTTCTTTTTCTTTACTATATTCTTACTTTTCTTTTTTATTTCTATATTTTTTCATTTTTTCCTTCTTTCTTTTCTGCACCTTATACTTTTTCTTTTTATTCTATCTTCTTTTAGTTCGTATTAGTTTTTACTGTTGTAATTATAATCTTTAATAAAATTACCATTAAAAAAAGCAATATTGGTTGGCAGCTTGGCCAATGGGAAAAGAAAGAGGTTGGCAGTTTCACCAATGAGAAAATTGCTGAGCTGCCTGGTGACATCTCAAGCCTCAGAACTGAACTGAGAGAAGTGGCCTGGATTCAGACAGGCCAGGCTGAAGGAGTTACTGTATAGTCCAGGATAGTGTTTCTCAAGTCCTCATGCTGGCTGGGGAATTCTGGAAGTTGAAGTCCACACATCTTCAAGTTTCCAAGGTTGAGAAACACTGGTCCAGGACAAGGAATCAAACAGCCAAGAAGAGAGCAAGAGAAATTGCTACATGAAATGTTTGCAGACAGAGATGTTTCTGTGGGCATTTTGCAAGACAGGCGCAAAATCAGTTTGAGTCAATAAGCAGTGTGCTTTTGCAATACCATACACCTTTAAGGAGACTATGCAGTCTCTTTCATACAAACTGAACAAGCCTCTCTACAAGACACAGGGTGATTCATCCCTTTCAGTTCAACAGCTTACTGTTGTTTAAAGTTATTTATGTGTCTATGGGATATTGTCTTAGTATTTTTCTAATGCAAGCAATAAAGTTGTTGGATTTTTTACTTATGTTGCCCCAGAATGGAAGGGGAAGTAGCCCCTTAGAACCCCCCCCACACACACACACATACCTCTGGTTGGAGACATGGTAGCAAGCTTGTTTAAAGTGAATGGTACTGGTGGGCTAACACTTGGGTATCTCTGAAGGAGTGTAATGCTATGTGGGAATGACCTTGGGAGACAGAAGGAAGAGCTGAAGACTAGAAAACCAGCGTGTAAAAGATATCTCAATCCATAGAAGGAGGGGTATGTGGGGGAAATATTTCAGAAGGGACCCTCCCTAGTTTTCCAGAGAGTAAAAGGAAAGGAGGGGAGAAATACTTTCAGTCTTGCAAGATTCTGTTAATGTAATCTTACAATGAAGATAGAGCTAGTCCTCCTGGTTGTGCTTTGTGCCTGGACTACCTCGCAGGGCTAACAGGGAACCAGCTCCTTGAACCTTTAAAAAAGAGCTATACATGTATTTCTATGCTGCCTTTTCTAAAAATTCCAAATAGCTCAAAATAAAACATTTTATGTGATACTGAAACATGTTCAAACAAAATAAAATATGTTATATAACCTCAGTACTAAAGTAAAACTACATTTCCCAACATGCTTCTAATTACATTGCACTCTTCATACTGAAGGTCTGTTGGAAAAGCATAGGCTTAACTGCTTTATGAAATTATACCTGTGAAGGGACCATTCTACACTTGAGAGGCATGCTATTCCAAAATGAGGAGATCACTACCAAGAAGACCTGTTTCCAGTTCCCTTCCCCTTCACTTCTTATGAGGCATGGATTCTCAATCTGCCCATTTAACCAGCACAGACTGGGCAAGCAGCATCTGCCTCAGACAGTCCCAAAGGGAATGAAGATCTAAGCCATAAAGAATCATTATTAAAGAATAATAACCAGCACTTTGACATGGACCTGGAAGCTTCTGGCAACCAATGGACTTTCAGCAAAGTAGGTGTTCTTCTGCTGTATTTCTGTTCATGAGTTAGCAAGCTCATTTCAAAAGACTAAATGGGTGAAGGCACTTACTGAACTTTCCATAATGTTACGGTACTGGCAGTTATCACATATTGTACTCTTGCAGAAGCTGACACTGCAGCATTATTTACCCAGTGAAAGGCAGGAACAAGCTGTTTTTAAGGAGGAAGAATCTTCAGTTTTATTCTTTCAATTTGCTGAAAGGAACAGTGCTTGCCTTGAAGCCTCCAACAAATCGCATATCTTTATAGAAAATATGTGACTTGATTAATAATGTAATTTGATGTACTTATACAGTATCTGGGCTGCTGCTTATTATGCCAGACATCCAATTAGTATCACAACAAACTCCAAGTTTCAAAAGTGTTCAATTAAATAGTTAAAACTAAACAACAACAACCCAAAAACCCATAATGTAGCTCAAAGGGACTGCAAACATCCATAGTTATTATGTAGATAAGCATGTCTAGCATGCCTCCTTGTGGTGATGATGATACTGCACCCTGCTTTTAAAGAATATGTGTAATAAATTAACGAACTACAAGCATATCATGTGTTATTCATTCCCTTGCCCTTCTCTAAGAAAGTCATGCTCTGCCCTTCACCTGTTGTTTACAATAACTTTGAAATAATGATCACCTGTCAACAGTAGAAATCTGTACCTCCATTTCCTTTATATTAATCTAATATACCTGAAAAGGACTAGAAAGTGAACAACAACATTCCCCACCCTCCTTGGCAGGAACTTCAGCACATAAGTCAAAGAATAATAAGATCTAGATTACTAACTAAATAAACTAAAAAACAAACTATAAAGTGTATATGGAAATACAACAAATCCAGGTAAAACAGGTAAATGAGTTATGTGAGATCTATACTTTCTTCAAAGAGTACTTTTGTTTAAATGTTTGAGATTTTTTGTAGGCCATAATCAAGTATTTTCCAAATAAAATATTACTGGGCTATATGTCCTCCACATCTAACACGTCTATGTCTTTGTAAAATTCTTGAAATCTTGATAACTGAGAGTGGACAATAATGTTGAACTGTGCAATATCAAAGCCACTGCTTTTCTTAGTTCTCAACAAGTTTTATTTTTTCAAATCTATCTAATATTTCTTTGGACTCTGCAGGACATATTAAGAAAAAACAGAGGCAGAGAGTTCAAACAATGCTCAAGTAATGGAATTCCCCTAAATAAAAAATAAGTATAAGAAAAAGCAGTTCTTAATCCCAATTGCTCCTAGTCCTTCAAAACTATATTACACAAGAGAATACTTTGCACTTTTCATTCATACTTATAATACCTCCTGGGATCTCCTAACACTAAAAATAGTTCTATCCTGTAGGTAAGATCCTGTATCACACCTCTTCATTTTGGTGAAAAGATGGGATAGAGTAAATAAAGTAGGCCTTAATAAACAGATTTATGTTTCTGCAATCTCTGCACTATCCAGTTCAGGCCAATCAGTTGGACAAAGAAAATCAAGTGTGTGAATTTTTCAACATTACCTAGTCAAATTTGAGATTTATAAATGTGATTAAGACAGGGAAGCTATAGTCTAGGATGCACAAAGTTATTTTATCCTTATTTGCAAAGACTGACTTTAAATTCAGCAGTAACATGGTGCTAACAATATTTTCACTGACTGTAAGGTTTGAAATATCATCACAGATAAGGTATATACAGTCTAGTTAAACATCATAACAGTACATCTCTGCTGTGATAACATACTTTGTATAGTTAAAAGACAGAACCTTTTCTAATTTCAAAACATAATACTAGTTTTTAAAAATTATCCTTACTTCTTTCACAAACCACTGACAAAAGGCTGGACTGATCCATTCTCTTGCATGGATTCCACAATCTATCCAGACAGCTTTCTTATAAACCCTTGTTCTTTTGCCTAGCTGCAATTGTAAAGATACATACATGAGAAAAAGAAAAATATGGATGGATTGAAAAAATCTGAAACACATGTTCTGCCAGTGACAGGTGGCAACTTAATGAAATGTTCCATTTTAATGGATTCTAAACCATTTAACCAAACAGAATGTGGAAATACTGTAGTAGAAGAAAGGATTCCTCTAGTTTAATGTAGTTTCCTGTGTCTTTGAATTCTGACTTTATTATGTTACAAAAATATGTACTTTCATATCACAACACTTTCAAGAGAACAACATACTCTATTACTGTCCTATGGTTGACCTGTTTTTTTCCTTTCTTTTTTCCCCGTCTCGCTAAGTGGAGAGATTGCTTGAACAAGTTATTTCTTCCTGAGCGGCTTTTCTCTGTGGCATGGTGCTCCTAAGAAGCTAACAAGCTCCACTCCATGACCTTAATAAATAAATTAGTTACCTCTAGCATGGCTCACACTGCTGGCAACTAACAAAATCTCTGTCTTGACCTTAATAAGTTAATAACTCATGGCTTTCCCCTCCAGATTTGGAGAACTGCACGTGGCCTTGAGAAGAAGGCCTGGCGTGGCCAGCAGCTGCCTCGCATAGGGCCAGGCCAGGCATGCCTCGTCAGCAGCAGGAGGAAGAAAATGGTGAAGGTCAGCTGGGGTTGGCAGGGCCAGCAGAGCACAGGGCAGCGGAAGCAGCTGGGGCTTTGTGTTGTGGTGCTGGGGTAGCTGCTGCGGCGCGGGGCTTGAGGTGGCACTCTGGTGGAGCTGGTGGTGCGGGAGCTGTAGTAGAGGCCACCGCCGAGGAGTGCCGCTGTGCAGGGTGGCCAAAAGGGCAGAGATTATGGGGGGAGATAGGCAGATGGAGGGAGTTCAAGAGGAGACAGTCTTACCAAGGTTCTGGGCTGGGAGGGATCGGGGTGTGTCCTTTCTAACAACCAGTGGGATTCGGTTAATAGCAAGAGGGACCGCCGTCACTAAGCAATGCGGTCATATGTAATCATGCTTTACGACCACATTGCTTAGTGACAGAAACCCCGGTCTCAGTTACTGTTAACCAAAGACTATCTGTATGTTCACACACAAACACTAATTTCCTCTTAATTATCCCAGCACTGGGGGCAAACATTCCTAAGGGCAGGGGAATGAGATAAAGGGCTATTTTTATACTTTATACCACTTGGGCTCACTGAAGCTGATTGAGGAAGAACTCCCTGGTGCTGTGAGTGTATTTGGGGACATTTATTTAATAAACTTTCTCAAAAGTTGGTTGCCATCCTGTCATCTCCTTTGGTATCCATCCTGAAAATTCTAAATTAAGTATTGATGCAGAAATTACCAGAAACAATTACATAATGCCATTCAAAGAAGTGAAAAATATATATTACCAAGACTGGGAGGGAAAGCTAATGTGAGTTTGTCTTTTTACAGAATAAGGATTAATTAATTAATTTGGTTAATTAACAAAACTCTGATAAGCTGATTCCCATTAAGAAAGATTTAGTGAATATCTCCTCTAGACAGCAATCTGTACAAATCATAGTAACTTGTAGAAGCGGTATGTCTGCTAGAGCAAAAGACGGGAATTTGTTCTTTGAATAGATCCTCTGTATCTCCTAGGACTTGAAGTTCTGCAAGGTCACTTCCAAGCCTATGATTCTTACTTGCAAGCAAAGCAAGAATGGTGAGAATCTTGAAAAAAGAATATGAACCTGTGTTTTTATAAGTGTATATGACAGTGTTTCTCAACCTTGGCAACTTGAAGATGTGTGGACTTCAGTTCCCAGAATTCCCCAGCCAGTTGAAGTCCACACATCTTCAAGTTGTCACGGTTGAGAAACACTGGTATATGGAGTAGGAATAACTATGTTTTCGGTAGAGGACCACAAATGGCCTTTAAGTGATCTGTTGGACTTACATATAAGAAAATAGTGAAGTAAGCAAAAGTTAGATGAGTCTAAAAGTTACGTGAGTCTAATTAAGTACAGTTAATATGAATTCTTCATGTATTTAATAATTTCCCCTTCTAATACATTAAAAATAATATCAGTTAGTGGCAATTTTTGGCAGGTTTCTGTGATATATGCCCAAGGCTGTCAGGGACTGCAAGTGACCCCCTGGGGCCTCAGCTTGTGACTTCAGATATAGGGCAGATATAATAGATTTTGTTTCCATAAGTATTTCCTTATTCATTTATCTTGATACTACCTCATTGCAACAACGTTTTGTCAAAATTTACCTTTAATACAAAGAGTGGTCTTCCCTCATATGACTTGCCAATAGAGAACATGTGAATGAGATCAGAATGAGTTTTGTTCAAATGATACATCCAACTTTGAATCTGAAAAAAGAAGAAAAAGATTATATAAATGTATATGAATTATTTTCCTTTGGCATTATTAAATAGAATAAATACAATTATATAGTATATCAGAAAATAAAAGTTCTAGTTTTCCATCTCTTATTAGGTTTTCCAATTTATAAATGTTAAAATCTTATATCAAATATTAATTATTGTTAAACAAGCAAACAAAAATGTTATTTTGCTATTTCCCTGGCATTTTCTTATTTAAGAATAAGAACATGAGAGTGCAAATGTATATTACATACTTCTTCCAGCGAATGATATATTTCATAACTATATTCTGGCAATGATCTACGATTCCTGAATGGCTTTGAATCACTTTGTTTTTCTACTGTTTTCTGCAGATCAGATATGAGGACTCTACATCAAAAAGAAAACAAAAAAGAGAAAAAGAAAATAACACTTTGAATAAATGCATGGTATAATACAAAGGAATGGAAAGTTACATTATATAAGCCAAAATCAAGCATTTTAACACTGTACGGACTATTTATGACATTTGAACAAACCCAGGTAAATTGCCTGTAAGAACATATCGTAGCATGTTGTAAAGCAAACAACGTGTTTTGGAATGCAACAATAATTTGGAAAAAAAAAAACAGGCAATGTGTTTTAATTGACTGAAGAAACAAGTAAAAACTAATTAACCAGCATTTAAAAGGATATTTTTTATCTGTGACTGATAATAAAATAATGCTTAAATAAACAATAACTACAGTATTTACCTATAGAACTATGGGTAAATTATTCTCCCAATAAGTAGCTAAAAGCAGAGGAATGGGCAGGAGGTGCAAATAGTCTCAGACACTGCTGCTGAAAACAGTGAATACTTTTGACATTTAAAGATTAGCCGGTTGCTTGGGAAGGTTGTTTGCCTACTTGTTTTTTCCCCCTAAAACTTAAACAGGGATTTGTTCTCTTTTCTTAAATCCTTCTACAGTTACCTCTTCAGTTATCTTCATCAGCCCCTCATGCTGATTTAAGCAATTGGGCAGGTTCATACTGAGAGGGGCAATCCTTCAGATAACCTGCTTGGTTTGTAGATGGCAAGTTCCTTTTTTAAATTAAACATTTCTTTTTCTTAGGTAGGGCTTGATGTTGGCTGTCAAGAAAGGTGCCCAGAGAAACATCAGCACCCCAGAAATAGATTCTGTGCTCAGGTTTTGCTAAAATCTTGCCAGTTCCTTGTGCTCAAAGGTGATCCTTTTAGCCATCGGAGCTTTCGAAAAAGTTTGAATATGTAATGACAAGACAAGTACAGTAAAGTTAAGAACCTGAATATCAGCTTTCTGAATAAAGTAAGATTTATTTACCCATTGTAATTTCTTTGACAGACAAATCCTTATCCTTTCCATCTAAGAGAGAAATTTGATAAATGCTTGTTAAGTCGTGCCACTAACGGTTATAATGTGACAGATGTTGGCTGGCATAGTTCAGCACAATATATATACATTGAAGCATATAATTTAAAAACATGTGGATACTTGAATTTACAATATGCTTGTACTAGTGACAATTACTGCTTTTTTAACAAACAAAGCAGGCCTACATGCATGAAGGAGACACTAATCTATGTTAAAAAGAAGACTATATAATTAAAATATTTTTCATGGGTGCTCTTTCCTACTTCTGTTCAAATAACACTTAAAAGATACTCTCAAATTATTTAATTAAAAGGGCACGCTAAATATATTGATTATTGTTTCTAGTAAACCTTAGACAGGAGACCTTAAATTGTGACACAAAGAACTTTCTGCAACTAAAATCCATGCTTACGTATATTGGATGTTTGCTTGTTCTAAGGAGTACTGAAGAATTTGTGAACTGTTTCTTGACAGATGTACATCTGCAACTGTACCCTTGGAGATGAGAGAGATGCTGCTTGGCTGCCACAGGTCCACCTGTAGTGCAGGAACCAACCTGTAATTCATATTTATTCAGTCTAGATTGGAAACACCCATGAAATGAATAGATCAAAGAGCATATCCTCTTAATATTGTACAATAAATAGCAGAGATTATTGCTGAATTTTTAGTGAATAGTTAGTTGATATTTTCTGCAAATTGAGAAGAACACACACTTTGAGCATTGGGATTTGTATAATTTCATTTTCAATGCAATAAAAACCCAACCCAAACTGGAATTATTTTAACCCAGTCCTGTATCTTATCTTACCTAAAAGAAAATGCTGAAATAAATCCTGTAAATATGCACTACATAGCTTGATTATATTTTTTTCTTAGCTTTCAAGTGCATTTTTAATCTTAGCACATCAGACTTTCCCATTTAGCATGCTTCAGGTGGGTTTGCACTGCCGCTTCCACAATCCTGGGTAGCACTGCCAGTGTAATTCTAGCAACTGTAGTTCTAATACAGTGATGATTGTCAAACTGAGGAAGACTCCAGTGTATTTATGCAAATCTGACATAAAGTCCTATGTATTCTACTCAGAAGGAAGCTCCACTGAGTTAAATATTATTCCCAGACCAGTGGGTATAGAAGTCTAATATGCTAAAGAAAAGAAGCTGCTGCAACTTAAATAGGCATTTGACTAATGTAATTCAATTTTTTTAGCTTCCTAAATCGTCAGAATCCTACTGAAGCACAAAACATTGTACAGTGGTACCTCGGGTCACGAACGCTTCTGTTCACGACCAATTCGGGTCACGAAC